GAAAAGATCTAATGCAATTAATTTTAAAAGCGTACGCATTTTTTCCACCTGCAATACTAATCAAATAAATTACAGTTGGAACTGATTTTGTTTAAAAAAGTAATCAATTATGCATTTTGCATTTATACTTGTTTTCAAAGGAGTGGTAATTTTTTTTTTTTTTTTTGGCTTGTTTCTTCTAGTACTGTACACTTCTAGTAGTGTACACATTTGTTTTCAGTATTTCTTCAATTTGGAAGAAATTGAGCACTGAGGAGTATAAACCTGAAGTTGATGCTGAAACAATTTGAAATTTTATCTTTTATTGTCTCATTTTTGCTTATACCATAGACTGCAAGTGTTCCTAAACAATATATAACTTCTTATATTTGCAAGCATGTTGTTGAGAATGAATGCTAAAATGTGCATTAAAGTTTATATTTCTTTGAAAATAAAATCACTTCTATACTTAGAAATTATGTTAGCACAGCTTTGGGACTGACTTTACTAATCTCTGTTGCATGCACCTCATGCAAAAAGGCAACATTCATCATTGTACTATCACTACCATCACTTCAAATGGTAAAATTTCTTTGATGTCGAATACACTTTGAACACAATTACAAGTCTTTGTTTTATATTCATTAAACCTGTGTGCCAAAATTGGGAGTGCTTCCAACAGTTTGCTACTACAGAGGCCATCTGATGGGAGCAACGTGCCTGAAGGACTAGTAGGAGGCTTCTAACAGCTGAGTGAAGATAAGCTAGTCTAAAGAACTTCTTAAAAACATAAAGATAACAAAAGCCATTCATATAGGACATGGTCTGAACAGTTTTCTGTGCAGCATATGCTTTCCAAATGTTCCCACATAGATCATCACCTTGACCACAACCTTTTTCAAATGCCCTAGTTATGTCAATATCCTTTTGATAATACTTATTCAATTTTTCAGCAATTGCTTTTCATGCAAAACAAGACAGGAAAGCACCATGCCCTGAAAATAAAAAAAAATATAGGAGGTAACTGGTGGCTTAAACTTGATGATAACAAATAAAGGAACCATCTAACATCACTTTATAAACTAAATTCAAAAATATAATCAATAAAAGGAGCTGATGATAAGGAATTGTTCTAAAGGGAGGTGGGAGGCAAATGGCCAAACTCTTCTCAGTTGTGTGTAGTGATAAGACAAGGATAGGAACTTCCATCCTAACATGTGGAAGAACCTCTTTCTGGTAAGGGTGATGGAGCATGGAACAGGTTGCTCAGAGAGACTGTGTAGTCTCTTTCTATGGAGATGTTCAAGACCCATCTGAACGCCTACCTGTGCGACCTATTGTAAAGTACCTGCTTTAGCAGGGGGGTTGGACTCAATGATCTCTTGAGGTCCCTTTCAACCCCTGCAATTTTGTGACTACCCCTCCTCCAGACATAAATATCATAAATTAAAACTCAAGAGACTGCAAGGGAAAAAAAAACAGAGACTCCTTCTAGTTTGCCAGACACTGTGACTAGTGAGCTATGAATTTATTCTTCAGTAAAAGCTTGTTTTGATTGTTTAAGAACAACAGCTATAAGAAATGTCAGAAATACATGATAGAATGTAAAGCTAAGCAGTTAGCCTATATTACTCAAGTCACAGAATATTAGACCCTTACTCCTACATCCCAACTACTTTTGCTTGAATGTTCCAAGGTTCACAATAAAATTACGAAAGTTGGCACAATGGCTCACAAATACAAACATGCCAAAAAATGCAGGTTTGGACTGGGATGCATACGTGGAACACAGCCTGTTTCTCACATTTGCTTGATACATAAAACACTTGATGAATGAAATCCTATTTTCCTATGCAATATTTTCCTTGGTGCTGTGCAAACATTAGGACATTATATATATATATATTATCTGAACAGATATAGGAACTAACATTCACTATTAATTATTAATGGATATGACCTAACATTTTATTAAATAAAAATCAAAAGAGAATTACATTTTCATAATCACACCAACCTTGAAAAAACACAAAAAAATCATTTAACAGCACAGATAATAAGCGTAGACAAAGACCATTTTTCTTGTCTTGACTCTCACATAAGAAAATGGACTGCATTAACTCTAGCAAAGAGAATTAGGTATGGAATCAATTCAGAATTTCATTCAGACACCATCTTTGCTAAAGCAGAAACCTACTCAAGAAAAATTCAGCTCTTCACAAGTATCCTGTGATGTTGCAACAGGAGAAAAATCAGGTGAGCTGTAGTCTCCTTCCTTAAAAAATAACCAGGAGATACTGCAAGCAAAGCCACCTGCTTATCATAAAAAGAGGACACGAAAAATTACTTAAGAAAGAAAGGATACTAAAGTGGATTTTTCTTCCTAAAATGAAAGAACAGAAAACCAATGGGTACGAGAAACATAAGTATACATACACAAAGAAATAGTAAAAATGTAGAAAATGCTGAACAGAATCCAAGGAAGAAAAGTAATGAAAGAATGACATTTTTAAAATAAATCGGCTTGTGATTCAAAGACTGCTCTTCACTCTGCCTTAACTTCTATGCCTAAGTAACAGCATCTTCAAAACTGCACATAGGATCTCCTGCTTCCATAGAACCCTGATTTTAGAATGACGATTTTGCAATAACAAGAGCTGAATGAGTCCAAATCCAGTACATACCACTGAGAAGTGACAGATGGAATTAGGCTAAAGACTGGATGGATAATTTTTACACTATTAATGGCGTATTCATTTACACTGAAAATTGTAGAAAAAAAATTCAACCTATCCTTACTATAGTTGCAGAGTTAAACACAGTGTTAAACTGTATAACTGTTGCTTTGATATTTCCATTTGAAATATTTCAGAGTCTTCCCCAAAAGTTTGTATCTACTGTTCCTTCATCACTTTACATAAGAAGTACCACTTCTGACCAGCTGTATCACTAGATCTTTTAAAGAGTCTTCCTATGCACAAAATGTGAGAATTTCATTTTCTACAATTCATTAAGAATTCCCATGAAGAATCCATTTGAAACTTAGGCTATTCATTGTCTCCATCATATTAAAAAAAATGAGGCTGGTGAAATTATCTGAAATCACTCACACACACACACACACAAGCTACCAGTATTTGCCTTCCTCAAAGAGTTGTTTTGCTCTGAGGTCACTTATATTAGAAAGACTGTTTTCCAAACTAAGTTAGCTGAGCTATTCAGATATGTGAATTTATGGTTCTATAATTAATTGCATACATTATAGAAACTTTTTAAATATAATTTCTTGTCTTCCTTTTATGTGGAAGATATTCAGCACTCATTCTCAAGTACAATATCCAAAGTTAGCAATCATGAAAGAAGAGAGGAGAGAGCTGTCTTTAAAAGTAAGAAAGGGATCATTCATGCATTATTCACAAGTTTAGTATGTACAAATAAAAGCATTAACACTTTCATTGAACTACTTCTCGCCTTCCTGTTTTCTTTAAATATCAGTCTACCCCTTCAGTGTTGAAGACCACCTTTCATATCATGGTTCATCTAGAGAGAGCCAAGGCAATATGTCACTGTCTCAATTGGTGTGCATTTAAGTTTATGGCTCCATTCCTGCAAGGGAAGCTGCAAGCACATCTTTCATTGCTACCTGATATGTAACTGGAGCCACAGGTGGATGTCACTATGGAGACATGAGTGGTTATTATAGAGACCACAGAATCAGGAATGGATGCCAAGGCATCCGCATCCCCCAGTTTACTGAAAGCTGTTTGGGGGGAAAGAAAGAAGAATAATCTCAGTAAGATTTATTCTTTGCTTAAAAGTTCAGGCTGGCATCTGAGGAAAAAAAGAAAGAAAAAAAGAAAGAAAAAAAAAGTGCTCTCTTGAAACGTTATTTTCTCTGTTTAGTTTTCTGGCTCACCTCTGATTTGAAAAGCAGCGGTGTGTCTGCACGAGTGCGGTGTGCCTGCGGGATGAAGAGATCACTGGCCCTCCCAGGAGCAACAGAGCACACTTTGGTCTCCAAAATGTGAAAAGGTCTGCGTTAGGGCTGTATCCCACCTCCAGTGTCTTGTAGGGGTCACTTCAACAACCACAATGCCTGAGCACAGAGATCTGCGCGGGCACAGAGAAACCCTTTTCTCTCAGGACAAGATTATCAATGCCCCACACAAGAGAGACTTCAAGGACTCTGTGTCCCCAGTGTGCTAGTAGAGGTCGTATAAAAATAACGCTGGAGGAGTGTTCTCCCGGCTCTGGTACCAGTCACGGGGAGGGCTGGGTGCACAGCCTCTAAGCAAAGCCAGCGGTGTTCGGAGATGATGAACCAGCGCGGCCGAGCTCGGAGCGGCCCGGCCCACGCCAGGCAGAGCCACAGCGCAGGGTCCCAGCGGACCCCTCCCCGAGATCACCCCGAGCACAGAGGTGTGACGTCACCGCTCCCCTCGGGGCCGCAGCCGCCAAGTGACGCCCAGTCAGGCACACGGCTCCAGCCTCGCTGCCGCGCCTCCCGCCCACGTCTCCGGCGGAGCTGCCCCGGGGCGGAGGCGGCCCTGGCCGCGGACCCGCTCTGCGCGGAGCTGGAGGTGCGGCAACGCCCCGGGATGCGGCCTCGGCTCGGCCCCGCCGCCCGCCTCCCCGCCCGCTGTCAGCGCCCGGCGGCCGCATGGGCACGGCGAGGCGTGCGGCGCCTCCCTGCAGCGGCTGCTTCGGGACCAGTGGGCAGCGCCCGCGAGGGGCGGCGTCCGTTCATCCATCCATCCGTCCATCCATCCATCCGTCCGTCCATCCCTGCGTGGGTGGCGGCTCGTGTGCGTGTGCGTGTGTGTGACTGACACTGCGGTGCGCACAGCGGGGGGGCAGCAGCGCTCCCGCCCGCAGCGAACGGGGCTGGGGGGGTGGGGGAGACGCCGGCGCGCCCCGGCTGCGGCAGCCCCGTCTCCGTCCCCCGGAGCCCTCCCCGATGGGGGCGACCTCAGCGGCCTCGCTGCTCCTCCTCCTCCCTCCTGGCGGGTAGGTTACATTACCTGGTCTCTAGCTCGGGCTGGATCTAATCCCGCGGCCGCCGCCGGCTTCTCTCGCTGCCGCGGGGGTGAGCGGGGTTATGAATTTATTTATTCCCCATGAGGCGGCCTCGGCAGGAGAGCCCGGGCCGGGCGGCGGGGAGGGAGGCCCGGGTGCTGCTGCGGGGCCGACGGGGCGCCGCTGTCCCGGGGGTGCTGCGGGGGAGCGGCCGAGGCGCTTCAGCACCGGCGCGGCGGGGCGGGGGCTGCGGAGGAGACGCCTCCCGGGTTGCCCAACCCGGCTCCGCGGGGTGTCTCGGCCGCGTGTCACGCTCTTCACCTCGGCTCTGCCAGGACGAGTCGTGTCCGTCCGCCCCTCCGTCCCACCCCTCTGTCCTCCTCTGCGGGACACGGAGCGCCGAGTGTTTCGCATCATGTGGCTGTTTGCACTCGATGGCCGTTCCACACAAAGGTTACGGCAAGGCGCGCCAAGCTTATGTCAAGAAAAAATGACAGCGATCTTTGTGTGCAGAACGGGAGAACTTCTCCTTCTCAAACAGCAAATCTGGCCATGAGGAATGAGTTCTTGATTAAAGTCGTGGCTCTCTCTCCCTTTCCCCCCCTGCCACACTTCACAGAAAAATTCAGGAACTGTTTTGTATACATGCCATGAACATTTTTATAAGAACAGCCTTTAAATTATCCCAAAATTCTGTCCTTGAGGCTAAAATCCTATGGGGAAAATGATGGAACATAACCACATAATTACATAATTAAGCCCCTTATCATAAATGCCTATTCTCATGGGTAACATTGCATGTCATGTGCAACATTTTAAGTAATCTGAAAAAAAAGTAGTTACAGTTGTTGACATCATGTTGCAAAATATGTACATAAAGTGAATGTGAATACCATGTGATTTTGATTTATTATTTTTATAACTTTAATGCATGCAGATTGTTTGGTACAAGCTTTACAGATAGGACCCTCACAGGCATTTTAAGAACTGGAGATAGATCTTCATGGATATGAAGAGAGAAGTTGGGTTTTATTTAAGAATATTCAGTTTGCTCAGCTGCTGTTGAGCAATAGAGGGACTTGATAGGCTTGTCTATCTTCTGCTAATAGTGTTTTTATCCCCTATCTGGCATCAGCCAAAATGAACAATGGCCTTTCGAAAATACTCTGGAAAGAAGGAGAACACCCCAGAAAAGGCAGCAGTTGTAATATCTACTTTGCATCAAAGAATTCAGGCACAGAGGACTGCCATCTTGAAGCACAGGTGCATAGAAATCAGATTTCTTTGTTACAACTACTTATTTGCTCTGATTGATTTTATGTGAGATTTTTTTTCTGTTTAAAAATTGTGTTAAATAAGAAGACAAACTCAGCAGTGTAACAGCTTATCTTATAATTCCTTCTTTCTCTAAGATATTATTGTTAAAATATTTTTATCATCAGTTTCCACTGGAAGTTCTTTAGCTTCAGGAAGAGGGAGTAATTTATCACGTGCTTGTAAAGCAGCCAGCTTGCTCCGGTCCCTGGGCAGATCCTGGCACAACTGTTGTTTAAGGAGCAGTAAGTAGTTCACTGAGTAACACAGAAAATGCTTTCACAGAATCACAGAATTGCCAGGGTTGGAAGGGACCTCAAGGATCATCAATCTCCAACCCCCCTGCCACATGCAGGGCCACCAACCATCCCACCTAATGCTAGACCAGGCTGCCCAGAGCCCAATCCAATCTGGCCTTGAACACCTCCAGGAATGGGGCATCCACAACCTCTCTGGACAGCCTGTTCATTTCTGAAACAAACAACTCAGAGCCATTTTTGTGGCATCATGTAAGCTCAGTAGTAATTGAGTTACTTGCCTGTGTCCGGGGTCATTTTGGGGAATAAACATCCACAGTGACTGCCAGTGCAGCTCATGAAACTCACAGCTGTATTAATGCAGGTAGCAGTGTCAGTCATCTCTTGTGCAAGTGTATGATGGAAGTTGCGCCCAGAATATCCATGATCACAGGGTCTATTCTGGCATCAGGTCACACTACAGGCTTTGAAAGAAAAAAAAAAAAAAAACACTTGAGAGAGGCTCACTGCACCAAGCACTCCTGGGTACACAAGCAAAGGGGACTTTGGTACAAATGCCATGCTTAAACTCATGGTCACTTCCAGGCAGGCCTACAACTATAAGACCAGAGGTGTTTAAATTAGGATCTTCTGGGCTGCTATTGCTGAAATACAAATTTTAAACTTGGCATTGTGTCAGTGGTAAGTTGTCTTCTGTATTGAAACACCTTGTGTGCCCTGAAGAAAATTGTAGGCCATAGAGGACCTCATATAGTATGTGTAAAATGCAGAAAAACATGGGTACATTATCTTTTTCAGTGAAGTATCCACAGTTCACATACAGTTTTGCAGAATGTCAAAAAAGTGGTTTTCAAATGAAGCTGAAACAGGAAATGCATGAAAAGAAATGGTGATGTTTTTTCACTTTATAGTTCTATTTCCTCTAGTTTGTTTTAATTTTTATAAATACATAGCTGTATAAATATAAGTATAGGTTTTCTTTATGTATGAATGTATGCAATATATATTTTAGACAATAAATTCTACACAGTGATATGTGTTAAATCACAGATTGTATTTTCTGTACTAGTGTACATGTAGTATGATATATAATACAGTGAAAATCGATGTATTCTGTATATATATAAGTATTTATATATTGACATGTCTATATAGAAATAGTAGACGACATTAGAATATTTACTGTTACATAACACTATGCATTTCTATTAGTGTATGTATGTGCCCCAAGCAGTTTGTATGCCTCTATTCGGAGCAGCCTCTCTAGGAAAGGTCCGTGCATCTTAATTGACCTGTTGTTGCTGTATGCTTCATCACATTTCTCTAGCGGTGGAGACTGAACACAAGGTAACTGCAATTAAAGCAGTGTGGGATTCTGGCCCACAGCCTGCAGAAGTTTGGATACAGCTCAGTGTCCTGCATAATGTGACAAAAAGCTGCAGTTTGCCCTTAGACTAAAGGTTGAAGTATGATTTTATTTTTTATGCATCTCCTGATTTCACCAGCACTAGGTTTTTAAAGCAAGTGCCCTACTCTGAGTGCGACAGGAGGGCTCTGAAGTGAGTAAGGTCCCTGATATAGATAAAAAAAGCTCTGTCATTGTCCTACACCCTTCCAGTCTCTGAGAACCTTCAATGTAGGCAGCCCATTATTCAAAGTAAGAGTGTTCACAACCACACTCTAAGGGTAAGAATTAAAAATGTATTAGTGATAGTGATTAATAATTCACATGTGAATTTCAAGAAGCTAGCGAAGGTTCCAAGCAGTGTATACACGTGTATGTGTTTGTCTATGTGTGGAGGGTGATGCTGTCTGTGTATGGTTCAGTGATCTACTTGAAAAAATTAAGTAAACTTACCTACATACTATATATGTGAAAAGAAGTTACACATTTGATTATTCATTCCACATCCATTTGACAGTGAGATAGACTTTGGGAGACTGCATCTTATGTACTCTCCTTTCTGGATTCATAACAACTTGAGGTCCTTTTAGTGATTTTATTGGAATTTGTTTTTAAGAAATATTTTTCTCCGGAGAAAGAAAAAAAAAAATGCTGCTGATATTGAATACCTGATATTATTTATGTGAATCTGTCAAATAATCATTTGGGTAAGTCTTCTGCTGGATTAGCCTATTTGCCCCCATTACGACTTGTCCTGCAGTTTCATTTGAATGCAAAATTTTAGTTTCCTCTGCTACCTCACCAGTTATGACTTCTAATCACAGTCTGGACCTAAAGGGTCTTGGTGTCACTGTTCTGCGGTGTTCATATGATTACGTGATGATTACATGCTTTTTCTAGACTGATTTTTGTTCCATGCACATACTGTTCAAACTGCTCTCATACATAGGCAAGCTGGCATGGTGCCTGCGCTCATTTCCAGCAAATACTCAGCATTGTCATTAAAAACGTATTGGTAATTCACCTCAGCCACCTTCTGTATGCTTTGTATCAACCACTAATCATTATCAGCCTGTGTCCCATTGCGTCCTCACTCATGAACACAGAAAGCCCATCCACTAATATAAAATTTTAATCCTAGTTTTGCTATGTGAATCCTAGTTTTGCTATGCTATTGTGAAACAGATAGATGCACTTCATTTTGTGTGTGTGTATGTGATATAAAATTCATATCAATATGACTAGAATTAGATATTGCAGAATTCTAATGATAAAATGTAGCCAAAGGACATCTTTCTGCTGAGATCAGTTTTCTTTATAAGCATCAAGCACATCTATTCAAGGCCCAGTAAAATTCTTTTCTTTTACAGCTCCTGGGGATAGAGAACACAGCACATTGTAACAACAGCAATAGTCTCAGCTGTGAGAGATCTTTATCAGGCATCACAAAGAATTTGAGGCAGCTGGCAGTTATCAGCTGAAACAGGTAGTCAGTAGAAGTATAGAAGATAAATAGATAATAGAAAAGCAATCTGGAAACCTGGGAGAGATAATAAACCACTCTTCTAGAGGGGAGGTAACAACTTAGGTAGGTCACTGATGAACTCAACTCCCAGATCACTACTGTGTGTAATACTGCTGAAAATACAGCTGCAGTTTACTGCTTGTGCTTGTCAGGCCTCTAGTAGTGCTCAAAATGTTGTTGGAAGCACAGTTTGACGTATTCAGTTACATAAATCACTATCACAGGGAAGTGAAGAAGGTTCCTGCAGCTGAAAAAAGCTGACCACAATCATAGGGGCACCATGACCCTCTGTTAAATTACAGTTGCTAGACTAGGAAGCTACTTATTCTACTTGCTGTTGACTATACTGCCAGTGCAATCATTACATAATGTTCCTGTTATGTCGATGATAGTTTCTGTGGAGCATATGATTTCTTTTTTTGTAATTTCTTGTTATCTATAAATGTTTATCCTAATACAAGCACAGAGAAGAGAGAGAAAGGAAGAGAATCATAGAATCACCAAGGTTGGAAAACACTTCAAAGATCACCTAGTCCAACGATCCACCTATCACCAATATTTACCCAATAACCATGTCTCTCAGTACGACATTTAAATGGTTCTTGAACACCTCCAGGGACAGTAACTTCACCAGCTCCCTGGACAGCTCTTTCCAGTGCCTGACCACTCTTTCAGAGAGACATTTTTACTAATATTCAATCTGACACAA